GTGCCAGTGCCTTTGATTCATGTGCTTCCTTCTGCTAAGAAATGCCTTTCCAAACTCACGTTCTCGGTTGAGGTGTTCTTCAGATCAATACTAATGATCTCTCTCTCCCTCGAAGACCACCCAATGGCTTGAAATCCTGCAGAGGCTCTGCTTGCATGAGAACATGGAAGTACAGCACCGAGGACTGGTCATAGCTTTCAACTTAATCAATGCTGACAAAGACCTAGCAAAGAAGCTGGTGGAGACGGAGCTCCTAGAGATCCTGACGTACATCGGCAAGCAGGAAGACCCCAAGAAGCAGCACATCATTAACGTAGCACACGACTGCCTCACGAGGTGCATGGATTACGGGCTCATCAAACCCCTCTCTCAGGCATGAGGAAATGAAAAGCACCAAAGATAATGTGGACAGGAAAAAAGCCACTGAGAAATGTGTAACAGTGAGAGCCATGAGGGAAATCTCATGCCATTGTTAAGGCATGGAATCATCTGGGGATGATTTTGGAAGATCAGAAACAATATGAGGAAAAGAGGGACTGGGAAAGTTGGGAAGTGTCCATCTGAGTAATTGGTGTTAAACCCTTTCTGCCCCTTCAATGAAGGCTTCAAGGCCCAGCTGTAAAGAGTCGGTTGTGTTGCAGATGCACTGTGGATTGTAGAAGGCAATTCAGTTGAGCTGCACTCTCTCCTGCAACCATCCTGGTAGTTGTGGGATTCCTAGCAATGGTGGAATGGGGAGGGTTAAATGCCTTCTGTTCTGTAGTCAGAAAATAGGCTGGGTAATAGCTGTGTGCTTTGTTAAATTATGGTAGTTTTAGACAGCCTTAAGAGGTGGGTGAACTCTTAATAAATTCACATCTTTGTTCCATGTGGAATTCCTCTTCTGGTTTTATTAAGCAAAGGGAGAACTCCCACTTGCAGCCTTGTATTAGACCCAGGAGGCTGGAGTAAGGGGTAGCACAGGCTGGATTCTCACCACTTGCAACCTTACCCAGTGATGCTCAGATGAATGGGCCAAGTCACTGTGAAAGGCTGTAGGAGCTTAATGGCTTAAGCTGAGGTTCACACCAGGGAACGGCATTTGGCTCAACAGGGAATGCTGAAAAGAGCTCATTGACGGAAGAAGCAGAACAAAGAGAAAACACACCAGTTGGTCATTACATTCAACTTCATTATATAAATTTATATTGAAATCATGTCCATATACAACTTGCAGCTGAAATAATTAATGTTATGGCTTAACCTGCTTCATAAGTTTTCCCCATGAAAGTGATCTAGGCTGGGGACCACTCTGGAACATCCTCAGTGTCACCACCCTCCTTGGAGCCAAATTCCAGCCAAGGCACTGAGATTAGAGCAGTAATGGGAGGACTGCTTGCAGCCCAGAAGCCAACTGTATCCTGGGCTGCATCAAAGGGAGCGTGACCAGCAGGTCAAAGGAGGTGATCCTGTCCCTCTACTCTGCTCTCGTGAGACCTCACTTGGAGCATTGTGTGCAGTTCTGGTGTCCTCAACATAAAAAGGACATGGAACTGTTGGAACAAGTCCAGAGGAGGCCACGAGGATGATCAGGGGCTGGAGCACCTCCCATATGAAGACAGGCTGAGAACATTGGGGCTGTTCAGCCTGGAGAAGGGAAGCTGATGGAGACCTCAGAGCAGCTTCCAGTATCTGAAGGGGAGCTATAGGCATGCTGGGGAGGGAATCTTCATTAGGGACTGTAATGATAGCACAAGGGGTAACGGGTTCACTTAAACAGGGGAAGTTTAGTTTGGATCTAAGGAAGAAGTTCTTTCCTGTTAGGGTGGTGAGGCCCTGGGATGGGTTGCCCAGGGAGGTTGTGAATGCTCCATCCCTGGCAGTGTTCAAGTACAGGCTGGACAGAGCCTTGGGTGACATGGTTTAGTATGAGATGTTGGGGGGGGGGGGGGGGGGATGGAACTGGATGATCTTAAGGTCCTTTCCAACCCTGACTGTTCTATGATTCTATGACTGAGAGCAGGGAAGGGCTTGGGCTTCACCGCAAAGCCTTGAGAAGCCTCTCACAGCAGTGGAGGAGAATTGGTTTGAGGGAGATGAGAGAGAATGAAACTGCAGGGAAAAGAGCAAGCAGGAGAGGAAGGAAATAGAAACAGGCTCTGTTTGTGGGCAGGATTACAGCTTCATGGACAATACAATAATGCTTTTTAGCTTTTCATTCCGTACTGTGTAAAAGAGAGTCCCCTTCCCGACCCCCTTGGCAGGAGACGGTCTTAATCCTCCCCTCCTTGCTTTGCCCCTTGTCTTCCTTTGCCTCTCTTCAGACTGCATTCTGGTGTCCTGGCCTTTATTCCTTACATCTGGCCTTAAATACACATTTTATTCGAACTTGCACATTAAACCACGAAGTTTTGCCTTCCAAAGCACCTCAGTGATTGGAATATTTTTATTTACCTATTTCTATTTCTCCCTCATGGTTTATTTCTTCCCTCCTCTCAGCCGGTTTCGCGCTGCCCCTCTGTGGTGGAGCCGCCTCTACACAATATGCCGCCGGGAGAGCCGGGCTCTCGGGACTGGGCGGTGCTGGAGGCGGTCACTTACCATCGTCGCTTCGGCTCCGCAACCGGCGTCGCTGAGGAAACGCAACACAACGTTAACGGGAAAGGGAAACGCCGCTGGCTCATCCCGCCCCTTCCCGTCCCCTCAGGCCTCCTCACAGGGCGGGAAACGCTCGCACCGCCCCGACCGCGGCTAACGCGCCTTCCGATTGGTGCCCACCCGACCTCGCCGGCAGTGCCGCGCGCTGCCATTGGCTGTTGGCCACTGGGGGTGGGACAAAGGCGGGGCAGCTTCGCCTCGGCGTGTCTGGGTCTGCGGGAGCGGTGTGAGGGGGACAGGGTGGAGAGGGGCTGGGGGTAAGGGGGGATCAGGGTAGGGTGGGTGAGGGCTCGGGGTGCGGGCCGGAGGCCTGGCTGGGAGCGGGAGACCCGACTGAGGCGAGGGATCTGTGGCTGAACGGGCGTGGAGGTGAGCGGGATGGGGGGGGGGGGGGGTGCTGCAGGGGCCGACTGGGAAAGAGGGTGGGGGTAAAGGAACGGGGGACTGAAGAGCTGCAAGGGTCTGGGGAGAGAATGCAAGGAAGGAGGTGGGGAATGGGTGGTTAGATCGAAACAGACACCTCTGGACCCTCGGAGAGCCGCTGGATTCGGCAGCGTTTGTAGGTACGATGGGATATTTCCCCTTGGCTTTGCCTGGGACTGGCCGTCCTGGCCACGGAATCCTAGCTCGTGACCTGTCTTCCCGAGCTCCAGTTCCGTTCCATCAGCATGTCACCTTCCTCCCTTGCTAAATGTGCCTTCTCCCCTTGTTACCTATACCAGGAGGTCGTGATAAGGAGATAAACCACACCGTTAATTAATGGATGAGCTTAAAACTTTATCTGCAGCCTGCCTGCAGATCAGCTAGAGCTTTAATGAATGCTTATTTGGAGTTTCGTGTGCCTTGTGGGGTGGCTTTGCGTATAAATGTCAGGAGGAAAGAGAGGAAGGCTGCTGGTTTAGCTCGTGGTGTTTGGGAAAGGGAAATGGAGGAGTTTTGCCAGTGTTACTCCACCAACATGGATTTATCATGCACAGGAGCTCCTCATGGAGAGACTACATCCATCCTGATGGTGCAAAGTACCACCTCCATCCAGCTGTGTGAAGATAGAAATAGCAGCTTGGGGCTCAGTTTCTTATAACAGCCATGCCTGTCTCATCTCCCAAGGGTTGCTGTTAACTTACTGCAAACTCCATCCTGTAGAAAGCTGTGTGATCCTGAAAAGAATTAACCCAAACCCCAAGTTAATCTGTGTTTGGGTGTGGGGAGATGTGTGTGTGTGGTTTTCCTTCAGGGAAAAAAACTTTTCTGTTTAGTTTCTGAGTTGGGAGCAAGCTTCTTATGGAATGGAAATACACTTGCCTGAAGCAATGATGAGCGAAGTATAGTCTGAACTGGTATTGCTGAGACTGTGTGTCTTTGCTCTGACCAGGGCATGATCATGTAATCTTCTCTCTGAGCTTATTTAGGCTGAGCTCATCTGGAGTAAATAGCTTTGCTGCTTGAAACTTTTCCATGTGTCCTAAAAAAAACTGGGGGGGGGGGGAACACAACAAACCAACCCAAACCCTAAAAATCTTCACATGTAAAGTATTAAGAATTTGTAGCCATTTATTTTATTATCAGAAAACAAAAACCTTGATTTGGCAAGTGAGTGGTGCAAACACTCGTTTGGGTTTGTGCATCCTGCTGCAATGATGGGTTTAGAACTGAGCTTGCAGCAAGGGAGGTTTCTTGTTTTGTCCGTGTGCAGTATGGCACATGAAACCCCAGATGCTCTGCCACTGCATCTTCTCTGTTTGTAAATGCAGTGCATTTTACTCTGTAAAATGGAGTTCGAGCTGTCTGTCCTGTAGGCACCTCATTAGCAGTTGGTTCAGCTGTACCCTCATACAGTGATTGCTAGGAGGAATGGTTTTGGAAGAGAGTTGTGGTGTTGGGCCTGGCTCTGGTGCTCTGCTCTGGAGGAAGTGACAGGGGAAAGGCTGGGCTAATCAAGGAAGTACAGGAAGAGATCTGGAGCTATTCCCTAATCAAGTTTTTAATCTCTTCCAGGTCTTGATGATAGCTCTACATTAATTTCTCTTTTCCTGTGAAGAAGGAAGCTTCTACAGGGAGTGTATACTGAGGAGTATAATTATGGTGGGTTTCTCATAACAGAAGCAATGTGGTTTCTGTAAGGAAGTGAGGAAAGCAACTCAGTTGCTTATGCACTCACTTTCTAAGTGTCTGGATGAGTTGTGAATGTGGCTTAGCTTCATTAAACGCTTTTTAAAAGACTTTAGTCAAGTTCTGACAGTAACATATTGAGCAGCTCCAGTGCTGCTGTTAATGTTGATGTAATTGTATTAAGCCATAGAACTTAGAACAAAGCATCCTGAATGTATACGTATGTGCCTGTATAGAAGTCACAAATCAGTATGTAAGTCTGTAGGATGGTTTAATAAAGTTGATATTCCCTAAAAAACATCTTGTCTATCTTTAGGCCATCATGGCTTTAATAACACTATTACATTTAAAAGCACATAAAAGGGAATGTTTGTATAATCCAAACTGGTTTATAGCTTTGTTTTAGAGCAATAAACCTGATAAAAGGGTATGTATTTGGCTCCTAAGAACAGGAGGGTTAGAAGAAGCAGTCAAATCCAAGTTGGTATTCTGCAGGAACTTATAAAATCTGCCAGGTAACTGCTGAGCCTGTCACTGGTGTGAGCTTAATGCTTGTTAGTCAGCTAAGCATTAAAAAACAATTTAATATTCAAGAGAGTAATTACAGCTGTTCAGAACTGTGGGGCTTAGATGTGGGTGGTTCTGTGCAGGTCTCAGAGGTGCTGTGGAGTTGGTCTGGCAAGGACAGGGTGTTGTGTGGTGTGAGGCGGAGTGGAAGCAGCCAGGGCCTGGCAGGGAGGCATCCACTCTGGGGAGAGGGAAAGAGATTAACCCTGGAAGAAGGAGGTGTACAAGGGGCAGTGTGTGCACGGAGGCAGCTTGGGTTGTGCTTAATTTGGAAAGTATAGGCAGGATAAAAGGACATTAAACCTATCCTAAAACTGAATCATCAGTCAAATCCTTCATCCCTTATGTAAATGAGTGGCTGCAGTCAGTCTCCAGGACGCTCAGGCCCATGTCTGCCTGATCAGATAGGTACTTTTAAGACCACACAGCACATGCATGGAGTGGTTTAGATGCTGTTTTTTCACAGAGATGATGATTTCTCTGTATGAAGCAAGTGATGTGAATTAACAACCAGCTCAAAGCCAGCTACATTAAAAGTGATCTGAAGTCTCAGAAAATCTTGGTCCTTTCTGTGATTTCTTTTCCAGCAAGATGCACATGCTCTTCCTGGCTTTTTAAAGGGAGAGGAGTCTTTAAGGATCCATTAACTACTAAAGGAAAAATGAGAGAGTTTTTATTCCATAGTGGCACAGGTGGAAGGGTCTGGAAGTTGTATAGAGCTAGTAAGACAAGTGACAAATCTCATTTGTTACAGCAGGTGTTTTCCAGAGCATCTTTAGGATACAACTTGCTGTCTTTTTCCATGTTATTCAATAACCTTGCTATCTTGCTTATAGGTGAGGCAGGATATTGGAGATTTTCATCTTCTGAAGCAAAGCTAAAGTGCAGAGGGAAATGAGCTGACCCGGTTCAGTGGATTAAATGTTAGAAATTACCACTTAATCTGGAAAAATCTTGTACATTGTGAGCAAACTTTCCTCTTCATGTTCTGCAAGGGATGTCCTGGTGGTGTCTAAGAGCTGACTGCTGCTCCCTAGAGCCCAGTCAGGAAAACACCTTCCCTCACAAACCCAGGTGTCTCAGGGGCCAGCCATAACATTCTCTCCTCTGTTCAGCAAAAAGATGCTTTGCTATGATGTGAATGTGCTACATGGCTGGGACTGGAGTAATTGCCATGCAGTAATTAAACATGGACATTAAAGATTCTCAGCCTATAAAATACGCCTATCCATTATCGTTGTCTGTAAAGATGAAAGCTGCTTCAGTCCAGTCTCCCTTGTGTAAACAGAGCTCCTGTTTTTCCAATAACCAGAAAAGAATTAAGGTTAGGTTCTCAATCGAGAGATTTTTGCTTTATAAAAGCAGATAATAACCGATGCAAAGACTTATTTAACAAAAAAGCCAACTCCCATCATTGCTGCTTTGCTCTGGTTCATCATTTTTCTCCCTTGTGCACACATGTAATGTCTCTCTTATCTCCTTGTTTGCACACATCAACTTCTCTTCCTTTAAAAAGTCAAACCCTTCAGTTAGAGCTGTCAGGGGAATTAGGGCGTTGATGTTCTCAATTCAGAGGCGAGTAGCCTGAAAAATCAGGGGGACCCTGAAGAACAGCATGATGGAGCAGAGGTTTGAGCCTGTCTCTACCTCTGTGACAAGCACTAGTGCCAGAGCTTGCCCTGGCAGTGCTGAGAAGCTGCTGTGGGAGCAGTAAGTCCCCTGGAGAAGTTTCCCTACCTCTTTAATTTGCTGGCTCATGCCCTTGAGTGGGGAATTTGCCAGTGATGGTATTTGATCTACAGTCTTATCCAGATCAATGTTTCTTCCCTTTCGGTTGGTCTTTGAAGGTGCTTCTGTGCTGGCTGACAGACCAGGGCTGTCCAGTCCCTCTGAGGCTGTCACAGGATGTTTGAACAGTTAATAAAGGGGAGAGCCTTACCAGAATTCACAAGGGCAGCAAAACTGATGTATCACCAAGTGCAAAGCAGCTTTAGAGCTCACTCATGAGCTGTAGTGGTACAAAGCCTTCTATGGGACACAAGGAGGGGAGAATTCAGGCTCAGTGCTACCCAGCTGCAAGGTGCAGGGATGGATCTCTCCTTTCAGCTCTCAGGAGAGTACAGTTTGACAAGATGCTGCAGCTCTGTGGCATAGCCTGTGATGGGGCAGCGCTGATGAGCCTTCACGTACCCGTACGCACAGCGGTAGCAGAAGACAAAGCCAGATGTGGATAGGGCTGTGGCGTTGACGCGAGTTTTGTGGCACAGGGGACACACAGTCTTCAGTTTGGGTAGGAGAGTGGAGCTGGGGTCGAGGTGCACAGGGGGTGGAGGAGTTGGGAGCGCGGTCAGAGATTTGATGGTCTCCTGGTTTTCTGAGGAGTACCACCAGTCCAGGAACTGGAGGAAGAACACGCTGATAGACAGCCCGGTGGACAGGGAGAAGGCGATGGTGCCCAGGGCTTTCCTCACTGCTGACTGCACCTGGGTTTTAATGCTGTAGCAGAGAGAAGGTATTAAGTATATTAATATATTATTATATAGAAATGTATTATAATAAATGTATAATATTATTATTATAAATCATATATAAATGTATTAAGGTATTATATAAGGAAAAACTTACCACTACATATATAAACCACAGCAGAAGGGACTGCTTTACACAACTTCTTAACACTAAGTTGGTCAATGTATCCCATGTTTATAGTAAGGCATCTGCTAGGATGTTTCTCTTAGTATTTTAAGAAAGCTTCAAGTCCTGTTTTATCCAGAAATCTAAATTGGAAGAGTTTGGATTGAGCGGGCCTGGATCACAGAGCTTTTCACCCATGGATCATCATTTTACAGGACGTTAAGTGTGGTCATGGCTAGCTGCTGCTCAGAGGAATCAAAGAGCTAAGTTTTAGTCCTCTTAGCAATATAGTTGCAGTCTGGTTCCCTCGTTAGAAAAGTGCAGGTGAAGACTGAACACGATAAAGACTGAAGTGCCAAAAAAGACCCCCATTTTATGACCACAAGATCTTGTGAAGCTCATCCCCACTATTTGATTCCTCATTCAAACTGACAACACACCCTTTTGGAGCACATTTTGCCAGAGGTAAACCTCATCTTGAAGAATTTCTGGAGAAGTTTTCAGTTGCAGCATCACCTCTACGTTAACACACCCACAGAACCCCCTCGAGAGCAGCTAAGCCATGTTCTGACATACCTGGGTGCCGGATGTGAGGTGGTTCCCCCCAGTTTCTTCTCCAGGGCTAGGATATCCTCCGCAGTCAGTCTGACCAGGCGAACGCCAGCCAGGCGCAGCATGGGTGAATGATGCTGAGCCTTCCCCAGGATATAGCACAGTTGCTGGATGAGAAACCAGCCCTCCCAGGTCATGTTTACAAAGGGGTAGGCAGCTAGAAAGGCTCTGTAGAAGCGCTTCCATGATGATGAAGGAGGGTGGATGGAGTACTCATCCTCTTCCCTCAGGGTGGACACCAGTTTCTCCAGCTTTCCTTTCAGGTAAGGAACAAGAACCAGCAAGAGAAGAGACTTCCAGTGCTGCCTCTTTGGCAGGCCAGCAGTGGCCAAGGGTTGCCGTCTGCAGTCTCCTATGGGAATCCTCTTTAAGCTGTAGAAGTTTTCAGAAAAGGAAGCACTGCACGTAGCCAGGTAGTGCTGCTGGAGCAGCACGTCCAGAAGAACATAGATCTCATCAAACCAGTGCCAGAGGAAGCCGTATCGGCCAGGATTGGACTCAGCAAGCACCTGTTGAAAGGGATACAAAAGAGGAAGGCATAAAACATAGTGTGCTGAATAACAGGAACTAGCATAGAATAGTCTGGGCTGGAATGTGTTGACGCGGGAGTCATGGACAACGCAGAGACGATCAATGTGATCAAGCGATTGCCGTTTATTGAGCATCAGACATGATCTTTTATACACAAATCCACACACTGATTATACGCTGATTGGTTAACATGCCTTGCCAACAAGCTTCTGATTGGGCTTTACACAAAGTTGCTTAATACAAGTTACAACAGCTACTTATGTTTAGCACTAACCTCAACATCCATACACTGCAGTTTTACATCCTGTTTTTTGTTCTTAACATCGCTAATGTTGCAATTTCATCGCTAACGTTGCAATTTCATTTCCTCCACTGCTATCTCTGGCTAACCTTCCCTCTGGCCCAGCATTTTTCCGCTTATAGAGAAGCTCTACTTACACTAACTGAAGCTCTGCTTATGCTGAGAAGCCCGACTCCCGCTGAGTCCATACAACAGGAAGGGACCTTCACAGGTCATGCCTATGGCTCATAACACCATCTGGGTGGGTCAAAACTGTTGTAGTCGTTCATGAGTGTGGTAAATGCAGGTGATGAAGGGCTCAGCAACGCTGTGCAGTGTCCCCAGGGCCCCTCTGCAGCAGCTTCCTCACACAGCAGCCACCCTCAGGCACCGCTCACCCAGGCCTACGGTGATGAGGGACGGACGGCCTCCGCTCCCCCTCCTCACCCCAGGCCTCGCACCTACCTTCACCAGGTGCTGCAGGGCGGGTTTCACGGCGCCCATCAGGCTGTCCTGGGCCACCGCCTCGAAGATGGAGGGCCGGTCATACCCGGCCGAGGCGGCCGTGAGGTGAGCGCCGAGCTCCGCCATGACACCCGCTGCGCTGCGCTGCGCTCCGCCCCGCCGCCAGGGGGAGCCCCCGCGCGGCCCCAGCTTAGGCTCCGCGGAGCACCTCCTCCCGGAAGTGCGGCGCTCTGTCGCCTCCCGCGCGCCTCTATGGTGGCAGGGCGCGGCCGCTCTAGGCGGAGGCGGGTTTATTCTCGCTCCTCGCGAGTCCTCCCGGCCCCTCCGCTCCGCTTCCGGTTCCGCCGCCGCCGCCGCCCCCACAGCGGTGTGTCCGTCCCACCGCCGTGAGTGGGGCTGGGACGTGGGGGGGGGGCGGCACTGGGGGGGGGGGGCAGTGGTGAGGTACTGGGGGTGCGCTGGGAGAGGGGGCTGGGAGGCGGTGGGGGCACTGGTGAGGCCTTGGTGGGACACTGAGGGGGCATTGGGCGCTGGAAGGGGGGGGACTGGGAGGCGGTGAGGCCTTGGTGGGGTGACTGGGATAGGGTGGGAGGGGCACTGGGGGGACTGGGCAGGAGGGTGCTGGGGGTGAGGGGTGGGTGCTGGCCATGGGGGACGCTGGGTGGGGGGGTGGGAATGAGGTAAGTGAGGTGCTGGGATACAGGAGGGGCTGGGCAGGCACCGTGCCGGAGGCTGAGATCGGTGGGGGATGCTCCTGCAACCTGGGGGATGCTGGTGAGGGGGAAGGCTGGTGGGCGGGGGGTTGAGGGGTACGGGGGGTGTCCGAGGAGGGAGGAGGTGATAGGAAGCACAAGGCATTGGAGAATGGGGTGAGGATGGAAACAATCACCTGCCCCTAGCACATGCTGTTAGGGTTGTGAGTTCAGAAGCTGAGGCGCTGTTTTCCCCTTGACATCCATGTTCTGTTCAGTCTCCTGATGCTCTGGGGGCCCTGAGCCATGCTTGGGTTATTGTGTGGCTACTCAGTCAAAATGGGCGCAGATAAGAAGGTGTGGCACCAGCTGGAGTGTTAACCAGGGATCACTTTAGAGGTTTAGGGGTGCAACACTGCGTCACTTCAGTGCTGAAGAGTTTGGATCAATACTGAGGCCTTAAAGCTGCTGCCTTCCTCTTTATAGTGATGTGAAATCAGTGGTGGGAGCTGCTCAGGCTGTTGGAGTCATGCCTGGGGCAAAGCAGGTGTTGGTCAGACACAGGGTCCATTTTGCTGTGTGGTTTTGGGCTGAGGAAGCTTTATCTTTCAGGCTATGGTGGTTCCTTATTCTTTTAATTTAATCATATTTTTGGTTCAGTCTCTGTTTAAATGTCAAGGCAATGCTTATAGGATTAAACATTGCCAGAGCTTCTGGAGAAGTTCCTCTCTTCCTGTTTGCAGGGGTTGGAACAGGAGCCTTTTGCTGTCAGCTAAAACACCTCTTACCTGTTCCCACCTTGGACACAGAGCAATAGTGAGGGCACAATCGGATGTGGATTTTCTCCTAAAAATACAAGGATGATCATGATGTTGTCAGAATTTATCTTTATCTCTCTTCAGTTTAGATTAGTGTGCAAGGAGCTGGCATCTTCCTGAGTTATTTAAAACATTGCTGTTTGTATATTTGGGCTGGTTTGGGTTTGGCCTTCATCTGGGACTTGCTGTAAACCGAGCTGGGTTTGCTTAGTGGATGAGATTATACCCAGTGTTGTCACTGAACAATGTGCAAAGCAAGCTCTGACATCATGAAGCAGCAATCTGAGTGCTCATGAGAAGAAGAGCTCTCTCCAGTGTTCCACTTGGAATATGGTAGTTTGCTAATTGACCTGTCAGATCTCATTTACAGCTATCAAAACAGGGTGTAAAGACATGCACTGTGCTTAGCCTTGGCTGAGTGTGCCTAGGATTCTTCATCTGAAGTTAGAAGAACAGCAAAATGTCCTGGTTTTGGGTTTAAAGATCATCTCTGAAATTCCGGCAGGTTTCTTCCTCCTCTGTGTAGCTTTATGCAACTGGGATGGATGATGTGTATGATGGTCTGTTGGGGTTTTTGCTCCTCAGTTTTCTCTCGTATCTGCTGCTCTGGCCACTGTTAAAACCAGTATCAGGGTAGCTCAGTTGAGAGGTATGACCCGGGTTGATAAATCCACATACAGTGCAAACAACAGCAAGGTTACTTTCAGTGCCTTTTGCATAGCACTATACCAAACACTCTTGTAGAGGAAAGTATTTTAGGTCATCTTTTAAGCTGGGCTCAAGTCTGAAAGACTCTGTCAGCAGTAGCTTTGCAGCTGAACATGGGGTCTGGTCTTAGTCATAAACCAAGACCCACAACAGCTTCGGCTTTCAGGATGCTGTGATATTTTAGCTGGAAAGATTGCAGTGCTATAGTTTCTGTGGCTTTCCCAACCCAGCCTCTGTTTTGGAAGGAGGGCAAACCTCTCCTGCAGGAGGAATGTGCTTCCAGACCTGTCCCCAGGCATAGTTTTGCTCTCCAGCTTGGCAGGAGCAGAAAGGGAGATGAAAATCAAACCCAGTCATGCTGCCTCATTGGGATGAGGTGGTAACCACACAGGCACAGGGCAGGCTGGAGCTCTGGGGAGCTGGATGAAGCAACAGGTTGCTTCTCATCTGGCTGCTTGGCAGTGGGACAAGATGACGACAGCTCTGCATGGCTATAGAGCACATTGAAGGTGGTAGAAACAGTGGCATTCCCCCTCAGCTGCTGCTGCTGCTGGGAATTGAACTGCTGAGGAATTGAACTGGTCAAGGGGGATAAGGGTGGAAAAGAATGGCAGTGGTGTTGGGGTTGGTTAAAGGATGAGGAAGGAAAGTGTTAAGAAACAGCAAGCTGGTTGTGCTGCTGCTGGGCAGTGTCTTGGAGTTCAAAGCTGTGCTTGTCCTTCTGTGCTGAGCCAGCAAGAGCTGCAAGGTTTAGAGGCAGTACAGGCGGTGTTTAGGGAACAGATGACTTGCTGCTTTGCTGATAACGTTTAAGGTCATGGAAGTATGTACAAGAGAAGAGGAATTGGGGAAAAAAGAAAAAGGAGGGAAGAGGTGGGAAAACCCTTTTCTTTGGATAGTTTTAGAGTCATAGATTCTTAGTACTGATGCACTGTTCCACCAAAAGCACTAAAACTGCCCGCTCCTTTGCTTGTTTTTCAGTTCAGCTGAAAATTGTTTGAGTCATGTTTGCCATGGAGCTGGCAATTGTAAGGATAAAATGATGGCTATCCATGTACATTTGGGCAATCCCTGTATTCTAAAGTATTAATAATTCAGTTCTCTGGGACAAGGAAAGTGCTGGTGAGACCATTCTCGTGGCTCTTAAGCACTTGCTGGCCCAGCACCGTTTGTCAGTCCTGTCCACAAACCTGAAGTGCAGCACTGAAATAATCAGCCTGTGTGTGTGTCAGAGGTGGGATGTCAGCTCTTGGCAGAGAAAGATTTCAATTTCAGGCTTCGGAGAACAGAAAAGTAATGGCTTTTCATTGCAAACAACCACTTTGCATCTCTCGGGAGCCAAAGGAGGGAAAGAAATGAAAGGGCCTCGGGGTGGGTGTTGCAAGTGGGGTTAATTGTTCCTTCCATCAAGATGCAACACAGGGAAGTATCGTTAGGGGGAGTTGACAGTTTCCTTTGTCTGCATCATGGACTTCTGGCTTCCAGTCGAGATATTAAATGTGCAGTGCTTTTTATGGCAAACGAAATGGTGAACCCGCGGGAAAGGCAGCTGCAGAACATGTCAGGATTTGCTGATTATAAGGAGTTAAAAGCCCCTTTTCCCCTTCTGAGACTGAGAGTTTGAAAAGCTGGGCTGAGCATCCCTGCTTTCCCAGCCTGCTCACCTCAGGCTGTGGTGTTTTCACTGACATTGTTCATCTGAGCCCTTTAAATCCCTGGGTTTGCCAAGTAACAGCAGCTGCAGGTGCAGAATGAAGATTGTGAAACTTGTGCCTGTGGATATAAAGCGTTTGCTGCTTCCCCTTATGTTACACACTCACCAGCCATCCTTCCTCTGAGTTCCTGCCTTGCAAACTGGGTGTTGTCAGCTCCCAGCGCTGTCTGACTGCTTCTTCCTGTATTTATTCTTCTCCCCAGGTGCTGTAAGGAACTGGAACCATGACGGACTCCAAATACTTCACGACCAATAAAAAAGGTTAGTGTTAAGCTGCTGTGGTGGATTGGAGGTGGTGGGTGGCTATTTATACCCAGCTTTTTTAACTGCATGCGGAAGAACTTGTGCTGTTCTGTTAGCTCTGTCCCTGTTTCTCATCTTAATCATCTAGGGAGGAACTTTGCAAGTAGGTCACATGGTGACAGAAGACAAAACTGATGTATATATGGTTTTGTGATGCACAAAATGACCCCAGTTGCTGCTTTATCAAGGATCGGAGAGCAAAACATTGGGATTTGAGTGCAGATCTGGTTAAAGTTTTAGTTATGGGCTTACAGGTTCAAGACTGAGGGCGATTTCTCTGTTGGGCATCACAGGATTAAGTTGATGACATTCAGTATATAAGGTATAAGTGTATACCTCTACATTGAGCTGTTGCAGATAATGGGATTTCCTATGACTGTTTCCTCCAAAGCTGCAGTGCTCTGACTTCCCCTTGGCTTTACCGTAGGCATGGCGGTCTCCTCACTTCAGGACAATTGCCCTTAAGAAAGGGTAGCCTGTAAGGGATCTTTGAGCATGTTTTTACCCATCCACCTATTCCAGAGCATGGCTTGTTCTGCTGAATCTGTCCCAGGCAGATTTTTTCTTCTAACCTGTTCCTAAACAGAACACTGTTGCTGAATGCAGTTTAAACCTGATGTAAACCATATGAAGACAGACTGAGAAAGTTGGGGCTGCTCAGCCTGGAGAAGAGAAGGCTGCGTGGAGACCTCATAGCAGCCTTCCAGTATCTGAAGGGGGGCTATAGGGATGCTGGGGAGGGACTCTTCATTAGGGACTGTAGTGACAGGACAAGGGGCAATGGGTTAAAACTTAAACAGGGGAAGCTTAGATTGGATGTAAGGAAGAAATTCTTTACTGTTAGGGTGGTGAGGCGCTGGGATGGGCTAGCCAGGGAGGTTGTGAATGCTCCACCCCTGACAGTGTTCAA